TTTTGGTTTTGCACTATAAAAAGTTGGCATAGCAACAATAATAGGACTTGAAAGTTTAAAAATCTCTTATGACTACTTTTGACCAAGAAATGAAATTTGCCATTTTTCATTTCTGTTTTAGTTCTTGTCCCTGTGCACCCACTTCTTACATACTTAGTAATTTTCTTTAATGCGCTAGCTGGTTCTAGAAAGGAATCATTCATTTGATTAAGTGATAATGTCTACCATTCCCCTGGTGAAGTATTGGCTATCATTAAAAAGTGTTGTAGAAGCAAGATGGAATGCAGTATTCTGCGATTATTCAAATACAGTGTAAAAAAACGTGTACAAGTTCTGTTTGCTGAAACTTGTCCAAGAAACAATGCAATTTGAGATAGTTTAGAGAAAACAATTAAAACTTTCAAGGATATGGGAACTTTTTATTCTTCATTCTTTCTTAATAGAATTTTGGTTTGTGAATATTAAAACTGAAAGGAAAATAGCTGAAAAATATATGGCAGATATGGTTGTAGATATAGAGTCAGTGGTACTGTCCAACTAATCTTGAAACCGTAAGTGTTGAGAAGCATTCTTTTGAGCCTGAAAGGAAAAATTCAGGGAATTTTTTGATGGTTTTATATTAATGATATACATCAACAGCTTGTCACTCCCTTTATTTTGTGGAGTTTGAAAACATCTACGTTCAAATGAAAGGAAACTGAGTTGTATATGTGACCCCTTCCTCTGAAATTGATAACACAAAAAACATGCATGCTGTCTAATACTATATCCCTTGGTACCACTTTCAGAGAAAAAAATGCAATACTCATTGGATGATGGGTGTCTGAATGGGTTAAATAAGCCCTATTTTTTTTTTAATAAGAAAAATGTTAATTGGCATAAGCATCTACATGATAAAGTTAACTCTGTTTATCTGAAATAAACTTTTCGGAGTGTTTTATTGGATACATCCTCCTTGATAATCAAGGTCTTTATGCATTTAATAAAACATTTTGCAAGAAAATGTATTTAATAGTTCATAGTGAAATTCTTTTTTATTGATTGTACATATTTATGGGGCATATGGGATATTTTGATACATGCATACAATGTATAATAAAGTCCCATAATTTAAAGAAGGAAATCTATTCCTCATTTCACTTGCCTCAAAGGGAAGAAAAACAAAAACAAATGAAGAAATGAATTTCCTTACTCTTGTACTATATTTTTCTACATATTTGACTCCACTGGTAGTATTTTATTTAAAAAAATAAAATACATCAACTTTTTCTGAAGTAACTCTATATCTTGTATATGTATAATGTGTTAATTATGTTTGTTTTGTGGTTTTGATTTTATAGCTAACCTACAACTGAAAATAATAACATTAAAACTTAAATTTTTCAACTTAATTTTCTTGGAGTTACACCCAAAAGCCTGCAATACACATATAATTAGTTACTGTTTATAAACATTTTAGTTCAAATCTAAGAATAATTCATGATATAAATAGTTCAGGTACTATTATCAAACCCATATTACTCATGAGGAAATTAAGATACAGATTATTAAGTGTCTTCAGTTTTACATATAGATTATGCCAGAAACAGGACAAAAATTTAGGATATTTGACTCAAATTCTTGTATTTTCCAATATCATATTATCTCTGTGTTGTGGTATATGGCTATTCAAATTTCCATGTTTAAAACTTTTAATTTTAATAACTTCATGATTGCTATTTTCAGTTTTTTAAAAGGAGATATGTTCATTGTTCATAATGAATTAGAAGATGGATGGATGTGGGTTACAAATCTAAGAACAGATGAACAAGGCCTTATTGTTGAAGACCTAGTGGAAGAGGTGGTAAGTTTTGTTTTTTTCTTCTCAGTTGCAGATTCTGAATATTTTATAAGATTTGGAACTTGTCCATGATCAGGGAAAGTAGGTGTGAATACATTCTTCTATGAAAGACCTTAATTCAAAAGTATAAGGAATTTTTCATTAAAATCTATTTACTATTAGTAAGTGCTATTTATTTATAGAAAAATTCATCAAGTTAGCATGTTATAGTACATAGCTGCTGATTTTCAAAAAGCTTTCATGAGCTTCCATGAATTAAAAATGTATTAACATGCTAACACATCTTTTAAGTAAGAAAAAAATATATTAACATTTGGGTTTATTTTTATCCCTTTTTTGCCCTCTTGTTCTTCCTCACAAATGAAGTTATGGCAAACTGATCGTGGTTGCACATGTTTGGTTTCAGATCCTTTATCTTCCAAATATATGCATAATTTTCCAGTAACTTTGCAAAAATTCAGTTATTACACATATATTATTACATGATTCTGCATTTTGAATATTCCCCTTGTTTTCTTGCTATCACATAATATATTATTAGTTGTCTTATCACAGTGTAAATTACCATATATGTGGATTTTTTGAAAACAGATCAGCAATTTCAAGCAGCATTTGTCCTTTAGAGATAATACTCAGTGTCACTGAAATATATCAAACATTATATTAAAATTTTGGAATTCTCTTTTTCCTTTTGGATTTGTCCAGTGGGATGAAATGGCTTTCTGTTATCTTTTACAACTGTCACAGTTAACTGTTTTTAAATTATGCCACAGACCTGATAGTATGTTGAAACTTGTGCTCTGATTATTGCTCCAGGAAGATGGCAGTGGAGAATATTCTTCTTTGCTCTTAATTCTCTTGTCTGCCTAATCTGGCACCCAGATCTTGATGTGTAGAAGTAAAACATACTGAGGAAAAGTGGAAGGAGTTCAGGAAATGGTATGATACCTTCCACACTCATACTCACATAGTTACTTAGTAAAAGAGTTGGAATTAGAACTCTTAATTCCCAGATTAGTACTCTGTATTCTACAGGAGGAGAGAGTATTATTCCATATAGGCAAGAAGTATTAAAACTGGAGCATCTATTGTCTGTGTTGGCTTTCTTACAAAATTTGTTAAACTTTTATGTTGGATTTCTCTCTCCCTGCTATACCACCCACCCTCTTCCTCCTCTTAATTATTTAAAGGAATTGCAGTATAGT